CAGGACATCTGAGAACAAATACAGTAAAACATCACAGTACAGCTTTTCTTTTAATATATATATTAAATATTATTATTATATATTATATATTAATACAATATTACTCAACAAATAAGGTCAATTAAACTTCTTCTGAATAGTACATGTCTAGTTTCAGGTTGTGTTGCTGTACAGTCCAGCAGGAAAGTCCACAGCAATGGAAACAAATCTTTTTCAGTTAAGAGCTATTCTGGTATAAAAAATTTTTAAATGCAACCTATCCTGTGATGTGTCTTGGCTTTTCACTTTGAATTTGACTGGGCATGTTTAACTAAAATGAATACTTTTTTTGCTGACCTCACATTTGATTATCTGATGAAGCAATAATGTGAAAGAGAATAACTTTCTTTGAACTTTGGACTCACTGGTAAAACATATAAACTTTAATGTGTTCATAAAAAGCTGTTTACTACTTTGGTTGCACAGCAAAGGCATCCACTAGCTTCACCATAAGTAAAGTTTCTGAGTTGGATAAAACCGACATAAGAAAAGAGATGGTGAGACACAGAGTGAGTCGTTCTGTTCGTTTAATGTGACAACATACAAAGAGATAAATGCCAAGAACTGAAATTTCTACAGTGGCATGTAAAATTAAGCTAATACACGTGCACACACACTCTTTGTCTCTATGTCAGACACACTTACTTCTTTCTCTGTCATTCACACATTTGGTATACATCCTAAATCCCTATGCACATCAATAGCCAGTGTTTTTTCACCAGTCTTCTGGAAGATGGAAAACAAACAAGCACTCTCTGTTTACAAGTCTCTACTTTTCATCAGCAAGTTGATCATGAAACAAATGCTAATAGCTACAATCAGACCAGGCTAAAACAGACAAGGACAGTGTTTTGTTGTATGTTTACCAAGCTTAAAAGGTTCTCGACTAAAGACAATTACACAAATATTGTTATTTATCCAGAACTGTAAAGATGTGCCTCATCGAATGGTCGCCAACACATTTGCATTGCCCCTGAAGCTCAAACACACATCTGCTTCAGCCTACCATGTACTCGCTTTCTGTAAATTTGCAAATGTTGCACTGCAACTTTGAATCTCAGCAGCTCACCGTTTAACAGGGTTGAGCTCCCAAAGAGCAGTAAGCTTTTGATCTGGATTTATCTGTCGAGGCACTCATCCTCGTTACTGAGTGTGTATGGCAGGTCGGCAAAACATAAGAATACGAGACAAGGGCTACTTCCTCCTCACAAGCATTTATAAGAAAACACACAAGAATTAATATTTCAATTTTATGTTGAAGGTGTTCAATTTATATTTTAGTCCTTTCATTAAGTTATTCCTGTGTGTTTTAACCCAGGTCTGTTACAGTGGTGGTGCCTGAGGCCCCTCTACACCACAAACACAATCACTAAGGAGTGACCATACAAAATTAAATACAGTAGCAGTTATACTGAAATATCATACGATGATAATCTCTATTACTGCACCTTACCATTGGGTCAGGTCTCCTGTCTATCACTGGCAAAATGGAGGAACAAGTCATCAAGTCACACATTTCTGTATTTATGACCACTGATTTGAACCCGTCGCTGAAAACGGGAATGCTGAGACGTCTTTCAAACTGAAAAAGTTGAAGGTCACAATATGAAAAGCTCTTTAAATTACAGTTCAAATGTTAGCAGTACCATGCCTTGTGTTATAAAATAGAGTTAGCTGCCAGCAGCAGGACATTTATCTCACAAATTGAGAAAAAAAAAGATAAATAATCATCTCTGAATTATTAATAAATCTCAAAATCCCACGAGCCTGGGATTTCTTGGAATTTACAAAATAATTATCTTGTAAATTTAGAGAAGGACAATACAATTGATCAAGTGAATGCATTACATCCTGTATCATAGATTTAAAGAATATTAGGCAGATGTTTTTTTCATGTAAAACTCTTATAGCTATACATAGCTGTATGGGTTTTCAATAATGAATTCAATATCAAAATCATAGGTGAACACATTAGGAAACACTTTTAGCCTTTTTCCACGTGGTTCCTCGTGGATGTTTAGCTCCATCTTTGGGCCCATACCGTGTTGTATCTGTATGTACCTACAGCCAGCAGCTGTCCTCATGAACAAATATGATCTTCTCATGTGACCAAACAATCACTTAGATGCGACAATTAAACAGAAAGGAAGTGAATGAATTGTCTGGACTGTAATCTAAAGCAGGACCTTCTTTTCCAAGTTTGATGATTTTAAAGTGAAGAAGCTTCTCAAATATTCAAGTACAGAACAAACAGTTTTCCTCATCAAGAGCAAAATAAATATTTCTGTCCACTGTAAATATCACTGTAAAATAAATGGACTTCTTGCAGCAGCTTGAATCAAGAGGTGACTTCACAGCTCAACCTTTACTTTAAGGTGCCGAGGGACTCAGCCTGGTTCCTATTTTTAGGCAATAGTTACCTGACAGCTCCACAGCAAATATGTGACAATGGGGAATAGAGAAAATACCAGACAACACTTGCGCCTCCTCCCTGTGCTTGCAGCATCCAGACTCGAAAATGGAGGTTGCAGGGTTGGCAAAATAATTCAGTACAGAGGGGGAGAGGAAAACTAAACATTATTGCACAAGAGTATCGTCCAATCTAGAGTTCAAAATTAACATAGAGGGTAAAATATTTGGTCATCAGTTATCTTTTTACCCAGAAATCTTTCTGGATCCATGGCCCAAAAATACTGATTGGACCCAAATCTGGAGGGCAAAGAAAAATAAGTAAACCTTACATTATTATCACCCTGTTGGGACATAAAAAAAAGATTATCAGATCAGTTTGTCTGTAAAGGGGTAGTGCTTGATAAAAAAAACCATCTTGGGTTTTGTTGAAATGTGTCCTAACACCTGTTAACTGTGCCATTTGATATTGGCTAATACTGACATTTTCTTCTCCCGTTTCAGCAGATGCATGTCTGGCTTGTTGGCCAGCAAAAACGTAACACTCCGGATGCAGTGCTGATCCCCGACACTTACTGTAGGCCAAGACACGGCAGCACACAGTAATAAACCGATTCCTTGCAATCCAAACGACTTCTTGTAATCACCACTACCATCTGACATCAGAGTTTCGACATACATGTTTTTCTGGCCTACTTGTGACCATTTGTCTACACTGATTTTATTTACAGATTGTAGAGAGAGTCACAGGGTCAGTAAACCTGATATGGAAATGATGATATTAAGAAAAGTAAGTTTTATTTTTGTTTTGAAAGCAAAAATTGCTTAGAGCCTGTCAAAAATCATCTTTTTGGTTAAAACACACATTTTGATAATGTTAACCATTTATTTCTTAGGTTGCCAGAGCAGCTAGGGATCTCACGTATTTTGAGATTTTATTTAAAAAATACGGACCAATGTCTTTAATCTATCATCTTCCAAAAGATGAAGTAAAAGACTTGATAAATAAAACAATGTGTTGTAGACAGAGCTAGGATTAAATGGTAAATGGCCTGTATTTGTATAGCGCTTTACACATCCAGTCATCAACACATTCACAAACTGGTGATGGCAGCTACATGATGAATACAAATTTCATCAAACTTTTTAATTAGTTCGATATATTTGTGTTGTTACTCAAAAAAGTAATGTATTAAACATCACTTGTTAATTTTGTCAAAAGTAATGCAGTATTTTACATAATTCCTCACCACAGAAAGTCATTTGTTACAGTACTTTCATTGCTCCATAAAATGACTTGGAATTGTCTCATGATTACCAGTCAACAACACAGTTCCACACACCAACACAAATCCCACTGGGTCAGCATGCACTCAGCTTCATCATCACTGTGGGATCTCGGTTAGCTTTGCAAAACATGTGCTAGCAGTATAAAGTTGTTTCTGCCATTTTACTGTTACACACTTGTCCTTTTGGGCCATAAAAATAAAGGAAATCTCTCCTGTAGACGGCGGACGCACCACCATTTTCCTCGCAAGAAGACAAAAAATCATGTTTGTTTGATCTTTTTTCCTTTCTATCGGCCCACGATGCAAATGTAATATGTGAATGTGTGTGTGTATGAACATAATTAAATTCAGAACACATTCTAATTTTCTCAAACTGCTGCTGTGCATGACAACGTGGCCACTGAAAGACTGGAGCTGTGTGTCTCATGTGTGCTGTAGACACCGCCATGAGCCAGATAAGAAGACTAAAGGATGCTCCATATGTCACGGTGCAAAGAAACACAGCATGATAGGCAATCGAAATTTAGCCGAGCGCTGTCCCATCTCACACCTCCAATCATAGCTAATCAACGATGACAGCTGCATGTGCAAACCCTGTGGGTTGCCACAGTAACAGACAAGTGGGTTGATAACAGAATATTGAGCAAATGTCTTTAGTTTATTCCACCCTCCTTACCTTCTCCCACAAGACAAATCGATCTGTGTTATGAAAAGTTATGAGGCACAACTTTAACATCTGCAGCATGTCTCACATCCTTGTGAAAGTTTAAGAGCTTCACAGAACTCTAAAAATAAAATAAAACAGCTCCTAAATAAGCACTTACGATGATGATGATGATGATGATGATGATCTTGAGGGTTTCTGATGGTTTCTTTACATATAAAGATATGCTGCCTATGCCTGTGTATGTGCATGCGCATCCATGTGTAACTGGCAAAAGTGTCAGTCTGACAGCCTGCTTTTCCAAACAGAAAAGTTAATAGACATAATAGCAGTTCTTGCAATTCAGAATGGAGGTATTAACACTGGTAACCTGAGTCCTTTGTTACCGTAGTGTTGTCAGTTCTCCTTAGACTGTATCACGAGCCTTGGGAATAAACCTGTAAGCCCCCTACCTCATCTGTCCCAAGATGCACCATCTAACATGAGGCTTATCAGTCTGAATATCCATTAGAGTCAGCACTGACACTAGTGTTGATTGAGGCAAAAAACGTAAGCTCCAGACCACTAGGTTCACTGTCTGGATGCAAAACTTGTGATAATACAGTTACTGGCTGTCCGATGTTTCCCTTTAAAGTTCTTGGGAATCGAGCTGTTAATAGACACCCACTCCCTCCCCCTTTCCCAGAACATTAGAAATGTTATTCAGTCCCTATGTACCTCTCAGACTCTGAAGATGTGACCAGAGGGTTCCAGACATGAGGTAGCACTAGTAGTATTCCTCATAGTTCTTGGGATTGAGGCAGTAGAGGATTCCCCCACCGAAGGAAAAGATGGTGCCTCCCCAGGCCAGGCCGTAGCCCCAGTTAAATTCATGGTAGATCCTCAAGTTGATACTCTCGATGAACTTGACAGGGTAGAGGACCAAACTGCAGGCCTGGAGTACAACTGGATGTGATATACAGATTTTAGCAAAATTCTACGCATGCATGTAAAGCTGAAAATAAACTGGAATTTTAAAAAAAGGTTTATGTCTCAAACTGCACAAATTGACAATTAAATGGATAAAAGTTATATTTAAAATCCCACAAAGAAATTGTTCAAGTGGATATAGCAATTCAATCTTCGTAGCAGATCGTTTTGAACAGAAAACATGGTCTTGTGGATCATTAACATCAGTTAGTAAGTCCTGCTATCACCCAGTCAGTCTAAATGTAGCATATCCAATAAAGCCATGCAAAATTTTATCTTTACAATATAAAAATGATCTGAGTTACAGGTCTTTGATGTGCATTGGTGTTGGTTAAAATTTTCTTTTTATTTATTTACTTTATTATTGTTTTAACATCCCTCCCTGAGAGGTGGTGGAGGCTTTGTGTGTTTTCTGGGGCTTTTGCCCTTAGAGTCACCCAAGGCAAACTGATCATGGATGAGGGGCTGGACAAATAGTGATTGAGATGACCCCTATGAAAGAAAAAAAAGTCAATGGAGCAGATTATCCTGCCTGGGATCGGGTTACTCCCTCCTGTGTTATGGCTGCTTTCTGTTGTCTTATGAAAACACTAATTGTACACATCCATGATGTTTCGAGTTGGGTATTTACCCATTAAATTTGACTCTCATCTGGAGAACTTTATGGCACCAGCTAATCTTTACTCTTTATCTTTAAAAAATGTAATCCGATCCATTAAATATCATAAAAGCACCTCACAAAACTTGCGACATGGCGTAACCCAGCTCATAACCTTAGCACGTTGGGGCAGCATGCGTAACATGGTAGAGCAGCTGTGGTGTGCGAGAGCTCTCGGCGGCGTGGCTGAGCATTTGGAGCCTCGCTACCAAACCGGCATTTCATCTCTGAGAAAGTTTACCCAAGTTCATCTCTGAATGTTTGTAAAGCATTCCCACGTTAAGCTTAACAACCGATTTTGAAACCTTCTCCACTGAATAATCAGAACACTGATCAAGTTGGAGTGGGTGTAAAATTGATTTATTTGCAGGTTTTTCCCCAAAACTTGAAAAAATAAACTGATTTAAAAAGCACAAAATCAGTCATTCTACATTTTCTTGTATTTAGTCGATATTTAGATTCAATTTATTTTTTATGTATGATTGAATCAAACAGTCCAGGCTGCATATTTCAAAAATATGCAAATACGAATACAAGTGGTATAAAATAAACAAGTCTTAAAGAGGTGTGAGTTGTGATCCATTATTCACTGAGAGTCCCTTTATAGTTCACCCAAAACATTCAGCCTCTGTATTGGCTCGTTTAAAACTGCTGTCCGCATCCCATCATGGAAACACCAGAACGAATAACAAGTAGCCACAGATGATTGATCTGTTTTCCAGGTTCTAAAATTATACATCATATAATGATTTTTGATGATTATTTAATTGAAGCATGGATGGTTTAAATTACCAAAACAGTTGTGTTCAAATCCAAAGTGAAGAAATGGTAAAAATGCAGTCTTGCAAAAAAACTAATTTGCTTTTACATCTTACAAAACTTACAAAGAAAGTGGGGAGTACTTGTTCAAGTTCAATTTTGGTTGTATATCAAGATGAACAGGTTTGTAGAGTTGTGCGACGAGACACAACGCTACAACACACACATCCATAAAGATGTCATATTCCAGTGATTTCATGAGCACTCATTTTTCATTAGTGCTTTGACTGCATTCATAATTATAACAAGTTGTACAGACTCTACAAATCTGTGAACCATCTCTGAACGAATTACACGTTAGTGCTCTCTCCCATTTCTCTGGTACCCACAGTAAGCTCTTAAAAAAATGTCTGACAAGCAGCACATCTAGCTTTGCAAAATTAAGCATTTCATGCCCCAAAATTGAAATTTTCCAATTATTCCTGGAGGTATGTACAATAGGTAGGTGTATACATCAGTATTCTTGTGTATACTGACCTGCAGCAAAGAGCATGAAGGCAACAGGCGCGTAGAACCGCCGTCTCGTGCCAATGCACACAGCAACCAGAGCAACCAAGAATGACATCAGCACCAGGGCTCCACCCCCTACCAACAGTGCCAGCGTAGCAACCTGCCAGTCTGTAAGGGCAAGGTGGACAAGAAAAGGAGAGAGCGTAAGATGAAAGTAAGTAAAAGAACAGAAAATGCATTCACTGTGCGAGAGTAAAACTATGACCGTGCTGTTTATATTGGGGAAAAAACAATCACAAGTAAATAACTAATGTAAAACTAACACAAAAGCAGTGAGTACAGTACACTGAGAAGGAGGTAAGCATAAGAGAAAATGGAACTACGACAACGAGGAAAGGACTAGGAGATGAAAGAAAGGATACTGGGGAAGGACTTTTTATATTATTATACTAATATACAACTATTTTACTATGAAGGTGTCCAAGAATGAGACTAATAGAAAAGAATAACGGAGAGCCGGAAGAGAAGACGGAACTGGAAAACTGATACAGGAAGAAGGAAACAAAGCAGAAATTAGTATAACGTTACAAGGACAGAGGGCAAAATGAAAAAGGTTGCCAGCAGGATGGGAAAAGAGGATAGTGAAAGGAAAAGTGGAGGTGGAATGGGGAGGACCAGGAGATGAGTACAGTGCAAAGGATCTGGGGACCGAGAGGTGGTGAACAATATGAAGACAGAGAGTGCACTTAGTATGTCTAGGCCAACAAAAAGCCCGGACTAAAAAGCTTTGCTGGCAGGTTATCAAAAATCTTCCCGTATTTATATGTTGTGGCTTGAACGACACTGAAATAATTCACACACATGCACACACCATATCACTATTATAAACAACACATTATCTTAAACTGATGATCATGTTTCTTCCTACTCCACTTCAGACTTAATGATTGTCATTTCATTTCGATTCTGTTTATATTATTTCTTTTTCTTTTTTCCAGACACCGTGGGAGGCATATTTAAACTGGCCTGCATTAAAGCAGCACAAACTATGAATAAGTAAGTAAAACATCTGCAAAAGAAAGGTAAGCATTTTCATTTGGTTGTAAGTTAACCACACTAAGTAAACTACCAGTTTAAAAAAATACTTGTGAAAATAAACAATGGGTCTGGTTGTAGCCAGTAACCTTGTGCAAAAATAAACTTGAAACATAGATTTTATAATGTTTTCAGTTTTTTACCAGCTTTAAAAATGGTTATTAGACTGGGGGTCTTCCCCAATAGAGCCAGATTTACTAAACAGGGCTAACATAGCAAGGGAGTGCAACACCCAAAATAGTGCTATTAAGACTCAAGATATGCCTCATTGTTTTCATAATGGGGTTCAAAGTCAACGTCGTCATCAGTCTGTGAAATTTCTGCAACAGAAGCCACAGTATATTTAAAGGAACCTGACACAGAAAATGAAGGGAAGTTTTGTTGGTGTTGCGTGACTTCTTTTGGTCGGATGTTCCAGGTCATCGGAGTTTACAAAGCAAATCCAGAATTAGGTGTAATAACTGCAATAACTGCCACCATATCATTCTCTTCGCTTTATTTTACACGTTGAAAAAGGAACTACCAAAAATGTATATGCAATGTATATGGAAATAAAACATGAGAAAAAGGAGAAAGAAGGAGGAAAACAAAATAGAATGGGACAATGTGAAAACAGAAAAAGGCTGACGGATCTTGGTGACAACTGTAATTCAGTTTAAAGCAAAAAATAAATATAATATTTATTTTCAGCTTGCAGGATATACAGTGTCATTTTCTGAACACTTACTTGGAGAGCATGTAACACAAGTTTATTATTGCTGTACTGACAGGATTGTACCATCTACAACTGTAAAAGGTTGATTAAAGAAACGCACTTCCAACACCAAATCCAGTGAGTAAATACGGCTGATACAAGGTTATTTTTAATGTTTAAATATAATATCTTTTATATACTTCAGATTGTTTTTATATAGTTCTTGATTAAACAGACTGATTTTAGCACACTTACAGTGCATAATTACATAAATTGTAAATGTACAAATTGTTTTCCATATGTACATAATTTAATGTCCTAAAAATTGGACTGGACAATTCTCATGTTTTTTTGTTTTTATCATAAATAAGCCCAACCAATATTACATATTTATGTCTCTAAAAGAATGCAACAAACATAAAACCTAAAAAATAAAATGTGTTTTTAAATTTAAAAACAGAAAGCACATTTAATGAAATTAAGACTAGGCTTTTGTTAGCAGTTTGTTAAAAAGTGGGAAAATGCACATATAGATATAGATATAAAGATATATGCATGTTATATGTGTGCCAGCTGGTTAACCAGTGGGCCACTCTGAAAGCAACTTTGTACCTGTTAGCATTAACGGAGGTGGGATTTGAGCGCATTGGCATGGACCTAATTGGGCCAGTTCACTGGAGTACATGGGGCTATAACTTCACCCAGTATGCCAGATTACCAGTCCAGCCCTGAATACATTTTCCTGGTGGACCAAGGCACTTTTGGGTTAATGGGTCGCCTGCGTATCAGCTGTACAAGCACTGACAGCAGGCAATTCATTAATTTTCATTACTGGCACTGAATTGCCCAGTCAGATCACTTAATTCAATTGGTCCCTCCCTTACCTTTGATGAGTGCTCATGCACTTTGTAAAAAACGTTTAGTGTGCAAGAAGCTGGAGAGCTGAGAGAAAACATGCTAGCTGAGAGAAAACAAGGTGCCTGCTACACGGTGAACAGTAGTACCAGCAACAACTAGTAACCATGCCTCATTGTCACAGTAGCCTGCTGCTGCTAGCACTAGGTGTGGAGAAGTGAAGAAAAGACGGAGGAAGATGAAATTTACATGGTAAGATAATAGTAAATAATTGGGAATAAATGTTTACTTTGGCTATGAGCTTCTGCTAATACCTAAAGTGTAGTTCTTAATTATTGCCCCATACTGCAGTGCAAATAGAAAGTAACTGAACAACAACGGTACAGACATAATTAAAACCTGTTTCAATATCAATAGTCAAACAAATGAATATATACATAATATGTGTACATGATAGCAATAACGGTGGGACGCTTGAACCATTTGCTCTTGTACGTCAGCATCCATCACCAGCAGACTGATGAGATGGTGAAGCCTGAGTAAAACAGAAATTCAGTATGTTCTGGATCTGAGAGCAGAGCTACACACATTAGGTAGGTTATCACGTGAAAATCTTCTCCAGGTCCAGAAAAGTTAGCAGCAACTATACAAAAGAGGGGATAAACTCAGACCATTTTCACAGGGAGATAAAGTGCCTTGTGAACCTTCGTGGTTACATGGCGAGGGGAGGATGTTGGCTATGAAGGGGTGGAGCCACACAAGTATTTCACCTCAGCCTCCTTAAAAACATGGAGAGAGGTGGAATCCGTTCCTCTGGTGAGCTTAGCAAAGGTTTAAGATGACCTGGGGACTGAAGTGTCAAATTCAACTATTTCATCCTTTCTTCTTTGTGATGACCATCTAGGGCCAGTAGGCTAGGCTGGATGGCTCTCCAATGTAAAGTCAGTTGATGGGGGTATGTGGTGGGGGTGTGGTTGGTGGCTCAGCTGAAGGGGAGGGGTGGTGCAACAGGATCAGGGGTAGTGCCAGGGGAGGCTGGCCAGCGCAGTTGCCACTGATTGTTGAATCATGCCTCTACTATTGCATCAGCGCGCTGGGAAAGAGAGGAGAGTTGCACGGGAGCAATTGCAGTGAGCTGGGCAGATGAGAGAAAGAGTGGCTGCAACAGCTAGAAATAAGCACTATAAAGATTCACAGTTAATCACTGCTATGACCATTGTGTGTGTTGTGCTGGGTCAAACAGTAGCCAGACGTGTTACACCCCTCTTCAACAACTTGGTGCTAAGATTTAAAAGGCATTTAGGAAGGACTCTTCTGGCCTGAACACCCTTCGGAAAAAACACAGGTAAGAAACACAACCAGTAAAAATTTTCACTCATTAGGGTATATATTGTTTTTCCTGCCAATTAAGGATAAACATCACACAAACCTTCACAGACACATCACACAAATGTTAAAATAATATTTTTCTGTTGGCTTAAACAAACTTACCATACTAATAAGGATTTCTGTTGCTAGATAGACCTTCACCAGTACCAGCTTTGAGACAGCCAACAAGGAAAAAACCCACGAGACAAATTATAGTTTCTGTAAAGGACCAAATATTCATGGTAATTTACATATTCACTGTTACATATTTACAAAAAAAGACAGTTGTTGGAATTAGCATATTCACTGCCTTCTTCTTGCTCTCATTTACACACACACACACACACACTACAGCTTTTGCTATAAAACTCCGCGGTTTTATCTTTTAAACCGATACAATATGCAGAGCCTTTCTGTTTCTCTTGCACTGCACAGTACACCACAGCACCAGAAAACCCTTTTTCAGAATGCATCAATAACACTGTAAAACATATACTGTAGGGAACTGTAGAAATTCACTAATTCCCCATTCACACACAAGCAAATACATGTTGCAAGCTTAAGTAATACCACACCTATCTTTCACTTTTTTTTTTGCTCTTTAGTGTAAAGCACTAATATTTTTGTATCAAAATTGCAATTATGGTAGACTTTATGTTAGTGTAAGACATGCAGAGACATCATTATGAGTCAATCACGATGTCATAAGTCACTGGACACTGTGAACATCCACGGTTACCACTTCATGCATAATGAACCTTCCATGTGTATGGACATGTGCAGATATATATGTATGTATATGTATACATGTGTATATTTAGTGTGTACATGTCTATAAATAGGAATAGTAGTGGTACAATAGCTATATCAAGCTATATAGTTTATGTCTTCCATATTTCCAACTATATCCAAAATCACCTACTGTGTATGCTACCATTGTATATAGTGTATTATCTTACAAAAATACAAATAAGTACAATCAATGAAAAAAGTATTTCCTTCTGATATCTGTACCTGAGCTGAGGTGATGCAAATATTTCCCTGTTGTGGGATCAATAAAGTCTTATCTTATCTTATAAATATGCTGCAAAATGTGAGAGGTTACTTGATGTGAAAACTTGCAGAATGTAATGGAAGAACAATGGGAATAAATTCA